GTCCTAGCGTAAACAGAAATTAAGGGAGATGAATCGCGTCATTGGACTTACAGGCGTATCGTGTTCGATAGATACCGGTAGAGTTAGACAGAATCAGACAGAAGTAAATTTCTTGGAGGAAGGCGAATAAGGGAGAAGAGACTCTTGGGTTAAATTCGTACTTTGAGTAACTATGCATTGGTCGTTGGTAGTTTTGGTGTAAATATACCGGACGCAATACATACTGAATCACGTTGGTCTCCCTTTATTAATTTAACATCAGAGTCTCTAATATGCTGCTTGCAATAAAGACCGAACCGTGTCAGCCTTCCTTTATTTCAACTTCAGCGAGCTTCGTTCTATGAATTTCTCGCGGCGCCCAGTAGTCATTAATACATAATATAGTTGTCTCAGGTCGCGAGGGGTTGAAGGAGAACTCCAGCGACGCGTAAGAACACGTATCAGTCTAGTTTGGAGTGTTTTCCTTGATTAAATCAAGGATCGCGAGGCGGGATCAAATCGAGGGCAAAATTTGCAAGTCGTACACAGCTGGGGAGGCCCCTTTCCGTAAGGGTGTGTTCACAACAGGGGTCGAATCCATCGGGGGAAGATGGAAAGGGGGATAAGGGCTCGTGAAAGGGACGAGACGGCGGAGAGAGCGGAGGGTCCAATAGTCTGGCGTATCTCGTCACGGCGCAGATACCGATCGCGATCGATATCGGGTCGTTTATTCGAGAATGAAAGCACCGGCTCGTTTCCAGGACCAAAGGGAACCCGATTCGAGGGGTCGCCGACGAGACGGGGCTCGTAGTTTTCTCGGTTCGATTCACAATTTTTCAAATAAAGGATCCACTCGACGCGCGAACAGCGCGGGAATTCGTTCTTGGCGCGAATCGAATATCGCGCGACGTCGAAAGTGAACATTTCTCGCCGGGCGATCGTGCCAGGTAGAATTTCGAAGCATAACCCTGGACGTACACGGTGACGGGATGTAAAATCCGATACGACGGTAAAAGCTGCCTCGATTTGTGAATGTAAATGAGACGGGAAGAGGGTCAATCGGTCAGTTTGTCCCTGAGATACACCGACCAGCTCCAGAAATGTTCGTCGTGGAAGGTTGAAGTATGTAACGAGTTTCGTGATATTGAAATTTTTCGAATTTTATACCAGTTGCTACTAAAATTATTTCTACAGATGGATTGCAATTACCACCAGGGTGTGACTTGATAGGTTGTTCGATAAGTATTGTCGTTCGATACGAGATAATGCTATTATGTTCATCGTTTTATTTTTTGAAAGATGGCTTTTGTAACTTTCTACATAATTGGTACGTTATGTGTATAGGTACATTGTAATAGAAATCTGAAAATTTCGAAGGATCGTGCTTGCATATACCAAAATGACGAGTATATCTGTTTAAACTAAAGTTCCAAGTAATTGAATATAGAGTAGATTAATTTCTACGCCTAATATTTACTCGCTAGAAATGGAAACAAAATTGATTTTTCGAGAGTGTCACACCAGAAGAAAGACTCCTTAAACGTGTCGACCGCGAGTAACGTTTCCAGCCTCGCGGTAATTAAGATCCTGACCTCCGGTCCGCTTTGCTCCTCAGCGCGAAGTCTATTAATGAAAGGTTAATTACTTCGTCGACGAGAGACGATCCCGTGCCGCGGCTGCACCAGGTGATTCGTATCTTCGTTTCGCCCTGCTCGTTTTTCTTTTCCTGTGATTTCTGGCCACTCGAAGTCCCGCAGGGATTGCTCATGGAACAATACTCGAGACGCTTTTACCACTCCCTTTGTACTTTCGTCTCGCGACCGTAATACCCTGGTCGGAACAAATGTTACTTCCGTGTCTTTATTTGATTTACGTTTCGCGAGATCTTTCTTATCCTTTGGTCTCCGCAGATGTTTGAAATCACTCTGCTCATTGTTGGCCTCGAAACCATTGCAAGCGAAACGCTGTGTTTACGCTGCTGAACGTATCGCGTCGGTTCGAATGTTCTTTTCGTAAATCGTCGGCGACGTTTAGAATTGATTCGAATAACACGATTCGCAGCCGTTCATTGCACAGATCGATTAATTCCATAAAACAAGAAGTTGAGAATTGCGACGAAATAGTGTACATTGTGTTTTAAAATTCCCTTTACAATGTAAATTCAAATAAATATTGTAGAATGCGTACATATGTAGTTTTCATCTAACGGTATATAAAATTAATAAGAAAGAATAATGTTATAATAGTTACGTGACTCGTGAAATTAATCGATTTGTGCCCAAAATTACATACACGGCGTTTCAAAACTGACGATTCAAAAATGTATAAATATTACTATATCTAAAAGTCGTTTGAAGATGTTTGTTGGTTCGAAGCGTCTAAATTGCTCCATATTATGCTCGGCGATGGAGGATGGATCTCGAGGAGCTAAGAGGGCCCTCGTGAATCCTTTATAGGACGCTTACTAAAATACTCGACCAAACTTCGAGAGTGTGTGCTGGTCACTGAAAGGATTGAGAAATGTGTACCACCAACCGGTTTCTTCCTCCCTTGCAACCTAAATCCTTAAAAGTTGCATACAGGGGCTTTTGAACTAGCTTCTTTGTATGTTCTGCGGATCTCTGGCGTCTGAAGTTTTTCGTTCCTTCGCATATGCCGAAGAGCCCCTTTTATGGAAGATCCAGTTGCCAGTCTGCGAAATCTCCGCGATTCCCACGATTTCAAACACTCGAAGAATTTTTCGTCGAGACGCAACTTTGAAGATTCGCGACTCTCAAAGGGTGCATTGTTTGCACCCTCTCGCGCGCTTATATGGCGTCTTCCGTTACGTATTGTCGATGCTTCGACCAGTCCAAGTAAAATATACCAGACTGGAGCTATGAAATGTAAAATAATATTCATATTTTCAGTGGAAAATTAATCGTCTTCGTCCGTAGTGCATTTAATTTGTTTAATTCGGTTACTTGCAGTTCAATTTAATTCGAAATAATTTAATTGAGTTTCCTGTAGCGAGAGTGTAATATTTCAGGTGTTTCGTTTCTATTATAATTTGCTTCTATACTTTGTTGTGTTCGAACGAATAAATTTAAAGGAAATCATAATGTCACCTTCCCTGGCTTGTTATTGTTGAAAAGGGAGTTGAGAACCATCGATTCGGTAGGTGAATTAGTTAAAGCATACCCAGGACGGGATCTTGTACACACGATGTAGGAACGATGTTACGAGAAACCGGTCTTGGACGTCGCGTACACGCACGACGACACACACGATCGCTCTTACACTCCTCGATGGAACGCGCCGAGGGTAGAGAGCGATTGCCTTTTCGTTTTTCTCATTTTCTGCGGGCGTTTATCCTCCTTCTTGGCCGAGATCTCGCATTACGGCTCAATTTGGCCCGGTTTTCGTAATCTCGTTCGATCGATGTAATCTCGGCTCTCGGCAGCCGTGTACCGGGGGGCCCTAAAGACCCTCTTCGAAGGGTTCTTTTAGACGTTATTACGAATTCGAGCGGCATCTCGGTTTAGGTAACTCGATAATTCGATTAGCCCCTGGGAGCCACTTTCTGCTCGGATTAAGGGGGTCCTCTGGTTTCGCACGACAAAAAGACACCGTTTTTTGTATGAAACTTTATTCTCAGACACCGTTTATGACAATAGTTTCTTTCAAAATTGTCATATTTGTTTTATATGTGTAGATAAAGCTCAGTCTGATGATTGTAGATTTGTAGCGTGATAGTCTTTTGAAGTGTATTTTCAATATGTTCGAATGTTTAGATTTCTTTTATTGAGATATTCTTTGGGAACAAAATATTTGTAATCAACACAATTGAGTGAAGACAAATATTGTTTAAACAAATATTGTTAATAATTAATTTAACTATTGTCAGAAATTAATATTTAGTTGGTGCAATCAACAGACATTAAAATCTCTATTATCACTCGATGCATGTGTAATAATTTGTTTGGAACAAAGCGTAAGAGTGAAACGGGCCTCGTGCAGCTGGAGGTGGAAAGGATTAAGCCGTCGTTTCGTGTACGATGAAACTCGGAGTCACAAGAACAGGCGTATTACTTATATAATGGTCGGGCGTTAATGCGGCCCGTGTTTGATTATCCAGGCAGTGAATCGATCGCCGACCGCGGCTCCCCGGGCGATTCGAGCGGTCAGGTGCAATCGAATCGCTCGTTGCATAATAAGTTGCACCTGAGTACATTCGAGCAGGCTTATCTGCTCCACCCCGATCGCGTTCATAGCTGTTGCTCGCTCGCGCGGAGGAAATTATTTATCGTCCCGCTTCTGGCACAAATTCGGTTTATCTCGATCTTCTCGATCGCTCGGGATCCCTTTACCGACCCCGAGATCGGTGTCGTCGGTAAATTCAATTACGCGCGTGACATTGGAAAATAACGACCTGTGCTTGTCACTTGCAACGTAAACTCTATGTTTGGATATATAAATAAAAATTGACGTTATGTACTTCCAAGAGTGGATACGTTAAATAAATTAGACATTGTCATAGTTGAATATATGAATAATAATTGATGTTATGAACTTCCAAGTGTGATTGCATAAATATAAAATTGGTGTTATGAACTTACAAGTGTGAATACATAAATAAAAGTTCACATTAGACATTGACATATTTGAATATATAAGTGCAAATTATTATTATGTGCTTCCAACTGAGAATACATAAATAAACGTTGACATTAGACATTGTCACAGTTAAATATATAAATGGAAATTGATATTATAAATTTTCAAGCTTGAATACATAAAAGAGTGGAATCCAAACAAAAGGTACACCATTAAAATTAAATAGATCCCCATTTTAATATACAACACTCCTAATTAATACACAATCATCCAATGAAAGTATATCCCAAAACTTACCTCACCTTTCCAGTCCCTAAAAATGGCGCACCCCTCGAAGGGGTTGCACACGCTTCTTTATGCCACCGCGCACACCACTTCGCGTCGCCACTGTCTAATATATCGTTCTTTCTGTTTCATGTCCGCAGTATTACGAGATGTCTTACGGCCTGAACGTGGAAATGCATAAACAGGTAAGCCTTTACGTTAATTTGAAATTCAAATGAATATCATCGCCGATAGGAGCCGCTCCAACCGTGGAGCAGTGAGCGTGTTCGAGCGCGTATATGCGGCTGTGCGCACGCACGTGCACCGGTAGCACGAGCACACCGGTATGGCAATTACTTCGTTGACTTAACGCGCGCGATAGCCCCCGACGTGTCCGCTGAAATTTATGTTTTCATTCATGACGCGGCGGCGCGCGAGCAATATCCGTGCGGCGACTTACTAATCGCTCGGCTGGCTGGTTTCGCGCGTGGCCCTTAATTCGAAATTAAAGGGAGACAACCGAGGCGGCGGGGATTAAGGGGGATGATTCCTAGGGGGGCGTCCTGGCTATTGAATAAATATGTAAACAAGGTAATAACATGCAAATTGCGCCGAGGGGGGGAGACCGAACGACTTCTTTCGTCGATCCTTCGGATAGAGAATTAATTCAGGATAGTACATAATCTACGAAATGAATACCTGATAACGAGATACAGGGACAAATATTTTTCAGTAACTGGTAGAGAAAGCAACAAACAATTCGTCGGTCGCTGAACCGGAACCGGGGTCCTTTGAAACGATTCGATTGCTCTTCTCGTGTCTCTCGCTATATTTTAACGGGATTTGTCGCGAGAGCCGAAAGAAAAATGGCGCAAGGTTGTCGATGTATCCACGGTAATGCTTCCCTTAATGGCCCCCAATCTGTTTGTCGAGTAAACAGGCGGAAATAGAACCGGAGGTGGATCGTTTGATATCACGAATTAAGGCTGGACCTCGAGGAAAGTTCTATCGAGAACGCTTCCTCGATATTAATAAAGACAAAGATTCGCGCGAAATTTGCATAGCAAAGATCCATGGAACGTGTTTTTTCTCGCGCGACATCCATATTCATCGGGCAGCGATCGGCCGATTTGAATTTCACGCTTCCACGTCGCTCGATCCTGATCCCTGCCATTATAAATATCGATTTTTTTCTTTGGAGGGAAGGAAAGATGGACTATTTGTTTATTACATGGTCTGGGGATTGTTGCGATAATATTTTACAGTTAAGTTTCTTTCAACGAATCTGTGAAAAGAATAATGAATATGAATAAAAACATTTGTGTCCAACTAAAAATTCCACTAACGTATATTTTTTTTAACTGGATTGTTTTCACTGTCAAAAAAATAATATTTTTCCAATAGTACTACAAATTTAAGCTTCCTTCGCGAATTGTTTGGGACACCGTCCACCGTCGCTTGTGTCATTATAAATCTAAAAAGAAGACATCCATGTCTAACTAATACTAGGGTAAGCGAATTTTTGGTAAAAATTCTACAAGTCTGAGAAAGAAACTGCCAGCATAATGGGTAGCGAGGGAGAAAGCTGTACGAATAAAAACAGAGCGCAAGTCCGACGGGGTATAATTTGTTGGCGGGCGAGGCGGACCAAAACGCGTTCCGCTCGAAACCAGAAGGGAAGCGTCGTATTTCATTTCGCTGCTCGCCTTTACGACATTCCGGACATTAACGTCGTCAATTACCGTGCACGTCTTCGTCCGTTTTTGCCAGCGCGATTCATTTACGAGAGGGAGTCCCGATCATGAAAATTTATCGAGTCGCCGTGGAACGCTTTTATATCTTGCGCCGTCGTCGATCTTTTAACAGAAAGGGACTTCTTACAGGGAGCGTACGGTTTTCTTGCCAGCTTGGTCCCCGGTTATAGACAGTTCCGGCCAGATATGGCGAATAAAACGGAAAAGTAGAAGTCCGACACGACACGGGGAACCTATCCCTCTTTCGCCGTGATGCAACCCATCCCGGAATCTCGATCACGAATTCTCACGAGCGACGGGATAAATAGCCCGCTTTTTCCTTCTTTCTCCGGGCTCCATTCTGTCTACTTTTCTGTCCACGGCCACCCTTGCCCCTCGGTTACCTCCTTTACGACTTTTCTCTCCTCCGCCTCCAAGCCTCTTTTGCCGTTCTTCCGCGAAGTCGGCTTCGAACGTCGACGTGACGGGAATAATGCTCGCGTTTATTGAATATTTAGCAGCCGGGCCCCGTTATTTCCTCCTCTTCCGGCGGCCTCTTCCTCCCTTTTTCCACCTTTCGCGCGCCTCTCTTCTTCGCGCGGCGTTCCGACCGGATGCACCCCCTTCAAATCGTAAATCGGGCTTCGCGTCCACCGGGGAAACCCTCGTCGAAGGGGAAGGCAGGGACGATTTATAAATCAGGCGAGATACTTCGTTCTTGACGGCAGAATTAATAACGGTTTAATTATTTTGGGAACTTGGGTAGGAACTCTTCGGGTACTCTCTATTTTAATACATGTAGTCCGTGTATCGATTCTGTTGTGACCACCCTGCGGATATTTATGCATCTATGATTAAGGAAAGTATGTGAAAATATACACAAGGCTGTGTACGAATGTATAAACATATGAAATAGGAAAAATAAAATTCATGTTGCATTATTTAGAAGACGAAACATAACTACTTTTATTTACGTTTCTGTTCTTCATTTACGTATAAAAGAAAATATGAGAAATTTGGTTTACTCTGATCGAACAAATCAGTGATGGTTTTCGAAAATAGTAGACGAAATAATTATATATTTAAATTTCTTGAAAAATAATGGAGATAAAAATATTCATAAAATGTTTAATACTAACCAGCACGGTCTAAATACAAATCACACCATTCGTTGACAATGCACAGGACTATAAAAACATAAAATCAATCGTATTCACTGATTTCCATAACAATTATTTTTCCCCAAAAAATGGACATACAAGTATTTCGTACTGCAAGACGTCGGTACAAGGAGAAAGCAATGCGGGAAGTACATCGAAAACAATGGCTGGATCAAGATTGTAAAATGCTCTTGCTCCCTTTCTCCGCGTTTCCCCTGCCTCTTTTAGTGCCGTTCCCGCCGGTTGCACCCCTGAAATCGTAAATCGGGCTCCGTGTAGACGGAGGAAACCCTCGCCAAGCAGACGGCGAGAGGCGGAGGCGATTCATAAATTAGCCAACGGCTGATCGCATCGAGAATGAAAGGAGCCCCGAAGTTTTGCGCCGTGGAACACGAGGACACGGCCCCTGGGGAAAGACAAGAGGCGCGGCCCCCATCTTTTTTCTTCGTCCTGCTCGACTCGCGTTACAAGTTCGATAAATCCTGCCGAGATTTACGCGGGCTTGCGAGCGAGTTATTTCGAGGCAAAGAGAGACGGTGGAACATCGCTGTGCGAAGTAAACATGCGAGGGTTGCAAATGTTTTACGACCTTGACGGGGTAAATTGAATTTTAGACTAGTGTTTATATCGTGACACTTGATTTTTTGAAAAAGCTAGAGTAACTTTGTCTATGGCGCGTGAAGTCATGTCTTGTTCATGGCGCAGGGCTTTGTTCTCTTTATAGCGAGAAGTCTTTCCCTGTTTGTAACGAAATTGTGTAAATTGAGCCTTGAATAACTAATAACGCTAATAACACAGCTGTTAACGCCCATGTGAGGATTATATAAAAAATTGTAATATTTTCGAGGTAATGCAACTTCTATCTCACTTCGTATAGTGAGGTTTTTTTTTGCGATTTACGACCAATAAAATAGGAAGTTGTGTACACACTGCTCGTCGAAATTGCATCACTTTAAATATGCCAATATTTTCTGTGTAATTCTCACACCAACAGTGACCATCGCTTCTATTATTAAACATCATAGGTAAAATTTGCATTACACGGAATTCTCCAATTAATTACAACGAAACAATGAAGCAAAGCTTTCACCACGCGCATCATACACCACATGTTCTACAAACGCTATTTTAAAATAGTGGAACAATTCCTATCGCCACCACTGTGTACACCTTTCACAAATAGATTCTTTCCAACGTTCCGCGTGTAAAAGTGTCGCGGATATATCGCCGGAGGAACAGCTCGCGCAATATTTCACATTTTATTCCGACAAAATTATTTCATCGCGGCGACCGTGCCGGTGTCCATTCGTTTCCAAGGGAAGATTTAAGCGAGTAATGTAAACGAAAGTGCATGGCGATGCATTTAAACGGTCCTGCGATAAATAATAAGAATCGTTATTAACGGGAACGAACGAATTTCCATCGAACGTAGCGGGAGGGCGAGACGGGGGCAGATCCGTGGCGATATCCGGTTCGGAATTGCGCATTTCCACGCGCGCGCAGACGAGTTACGAGGATCGCGGGGGCGCTCCAGTGTCGATTGTAAAATTTCGATAACGGACGTGTCAGAAGCTGTTTACACGATCGTATTTCTGCGGCACAATTTCGTGCCTGATCGCGTTTATAAAAGCGGACCCGGCCACCATCGACGTTGCGGGGGAGGCGGAGGAGGGCCGTCCACCCTCTGCCACCGCGACATTCGCTGGGGCGATTAATCGTGGCGCGTTTATGACGAGCCTGGCGTGTTGTTGTTCGCGTGGAAATAAAAACTGGGAGGGTTGGAGGGAGAGGGAAAAATGAAACAACACGGTGGAAAAATTGGCAGCGGAAACGAGGCGCACGGGGGGGGGGGGGGGGAGATGAAAAACAGATCCGATGACGGCGGTCGAAATATCGGACGGGGGAAACGCGCGTGCAAATTTCAATTTGAATTTATTGGGGAAAATTTTGTCGAAGGGTCTCCTAATGGAGAGCTTCTTCAAATTTTATATATTCCTCTGTGACACCAAAATAAACAAAGTAACACTCGTTGGTCAACTTGTGGTTGACTTGTTTTTTCGGGGTAACATCCGATAAAACGTGTAGACAAAAAGGAAACACTATCGCGAAAGAAGAAATGGCAGCGTCGACAAGAGTCCTCGCGAGACGTGTAACGGATCCGACCGATGAGAGGTTGTGAAAATATCGGACGGTAAACGCTCGTGGACATTTCGAATCGAATTTATCGGGCGTGTATTAACGCGGTCGGTCGGTCGGTCAGTCTGGTAAGTGTCTGCGAATGGCGGTGTAAACGCGCTCGATTTCGCTTGGATG